CCCAAGCAATGCTCCCTATAAGCTGTGGAGTCTTGTGAGCAAAAATTCTCCTTTGTGATCTCCTGGCATTAAAGTTGTGAGTGAGCGATTTGGCTGCTGCATAAATTAGTTTGCTCTGGAGCCGTCCTTCCTGAGCTAAGACAAAAATCTGCGAACTGGAGGCTAAAAACCTGTGAGCTAGCTCACACTAACTCAGCTTAGAGGGAACACTGCCCCAAAGTAAGCCTCGGATTGGGGAAATTCCTGGAGATTTGGGCGAGAAGCCTGGGGAAGGGAGGGACATCAGAGTGGTCACTTTTTTCTTTTGCAGGGCAATCACCGTCACCCCCTTTCCTCCCGAGCAAGTCCCACCGATTTCCTTCCAGGGAAGTAAGCATCAAGTCCAAGCCATTTACCCTTCGCCAGCAATGTTCCATCTAAGCTGTCGAGTCTTGTGAGCAAAATTTCTACTTTGTGAGCTGCTGGAATTAAAGTTGTGAGCGAAAGATTTGGCTACTGCATAAATTAGCTTGCTCTGGAGCCATCCTCCCTGAGCTGAGACAAAATTCTGTGAGCCGGAGGCTAAAAAACTGTGAGCTGGCTCACACTGACTCAGCTTAGAGGGGACACTGTCCCCAAGCAATGCTCCCTATAAACAACGGTGGAGTCTTGTGAGCAAAAATTCTACTTTGTAAACTACAGGCATTAAAGTTGTGAGTGAGCGATTTGGCTGCTGCATCAATTAGTTTGCTCTGGAGCCCTCCTTCCTGAGCTAAGACAAAAATCTGCGAACTGGAGGCTAAAAACCTGTGAGCTAGCTCACACTAACTCAGCTTAGAGGGAACACTGCCCCAAAGTAAGCCTCGGATTGGGGAAATTCCTGGAGATTTGGGCGAGAAGCCTGGGGAAGGGAGGGACATCAGAGTGGTCAAATGCCACAGAGGCCACCCTCCAAAGCAGTCCTTCTCTCCATGGCAATTGATCTCCAGGCGGGAGATTAGTCATAATTCCAGGAGATGTATAGACCCCCCCACCGGGAGGTTGGCAACAACCGTGCGTGAAAATGTACAGCCTGGAAAAAAGACTATAGCGCGTCTTACTGCAATCTCTCTCCCGAGTTCAATATCTCCTATTCATTTGCGGCTTTCCCGCTGCAACGCTCCCGCTTCCACAATCATCAGCCCCCCCCCCCCATCGTCCCACAATCGCCTTAGCTTCGCTTCAGCCAATCATTCTGCCGGGATGCCCCGTGACGTCAGAGTCGACGTTGCCTGCGAAGGCGGGGCGGAAGATCAATGCCCGCCCAACCTCGCGCTGGGGCAATCTTATTGGCTGGGATGCTTTATTTGGGCGGAGCTTAGAGAACGGGCTGTTGAGTTGCAAGGAAAGCTTGCGAAAGCATTGTGTGTCCGCGGCGTGAAGGAAGGTAAGGGGCGTGTGGGAGATAGCTGGAGGCGGTGGGATCGGAATCTGCTGCTTAGGGGCTAAGGTTTGTGGGGAAAGGGCACTCTGTGCATGCGCAGAGGCGGTGCTGCTAGTTGTTATTGCAGGAGTTTGCATTTCTGTCTATTCTGTCTGATTTTCAAGGCGAGAGTTGTTCAGAGGTGATTGGCCACTGCCTGCCTCTGCATAGCGACCCTAGCCTTCTTTGGTGGTCTCCGCTCCTGGGGCCGTCCCTGTTTAGCTTCTGAGATCTGATGAGATTGGGCCTGCCTGGGCCATCTGGATCAGGGCAGAGACCAACGGAGGTGGCTTGCCATTGCTTGCCTCTGCGTAGCGACCCTGGACTTCCTTGACAGTTGTTGTTCAGTCGCACAGTCGAGTCCGACTCTTCGCGACCCCGTGGACCACATCCCGCCAGGCCCTCCCGTCGGTGTTTAGTCATGCCGGCCACATGACCACGGAGCCGTCTTCGGACAGCGCTGGCTCTTTGGCTTTGAAACGGAGATGAGCACCGCAACCCTAGAGTCAGACTCTACTGCCTTTCGAGCAAGGTAACCTTTACCTTTACCTTTTCCAAGTACTAGCTGGTTACGTTCCTGTTTAGCTTCTGAGATCTGATGGAGATTGGGCCTGCCTGGGCCATCCGGATCAGGGCAGAGACAAACAGAGGTGGCTTGCCATTACTTGCCTCTGCGGCGGGAACTGGCCGGCGATGAACTGATCTTGGTAAGCACTTTGAGCTGAGTCTCACTTTACTGTCCTCTCCTGCCCCGTTGACATTATTAATACGAAGAATGCCCTGTTTTCCTGGGAGCAGGAAACAGTTGAAGCCTCTCAAACAAAATGCATTATGCTGGCCCCGATTAGGGACGCCAGCAATGTCCCCTCTAAGCTGACTTAGTGTGAGCCAGCTCACAGTTTTTTAGCATCCAGCTCACACATTTTTGTTTTAGCTCAGGGAAGATGGCTCCAGAGCAGTGTTCCCTCTAAGCTGAGTTAGTGTGAGCTAGCTCACAGTTTTTTAGCCTCCGGCGCACACATTCTTGTCTTAGCTCAGGAAGGATGGCTCCGGAGCGAACTAAATTATGCAGTAGCCAAATTGCTCGCTCGCAACTTCCATGCCAGTAGCTCACGAAGTAGACGTTTTGCTCACAAGACTCCACAGCTTAGAGGGAGCATAGCTCCAGAGCAAACTAATTTATGCAGAAGCCAAACCGCTCGCTCACAACTTCAATGCCGGTCGCTCTCAAAGCAGAATCTTTGCTCACAAGACTCCACAGTTTAGAGGGAACATTACTCCAGAGTTTGTTTAATTTCATGTTCGTGGCCTCGATAACACTGTCTAACCCATCTCCTTGGCAGACTCCCCTCCAACCACTAACCAGAGCTGACTCTGCTTCGCTTCTGAGGTCTGATGAGATTGGGGTAGTCTGGTGTATCCAGGTCAGGGTGGGTTTCTCCTCGGTGCTGGTGAATTTTGTTCTGTGGATACGGTGGGCTGAAGAAGAGGACATCTTCAAGTAGTGGGCTTATCTGTGCAAGAAAAAGTCATTGTGCAGGAGACTTACGAACCAACAAATCCACTGTGTCCCTCCTCCTGCTCCAGCCTTGTTCTGTCTTGTTTCCTCTGTCAGTGCTTACTCCAGAGTTTGTTTAATTTCATGTTCGTGGCCTCGATAACACTGTCTAACCCATCTCCTTGGCAGACTCCCCTCCAACCACTAACCAGAGCTGACTCTGCTTAGCTTCTGAGGGCTGATGAGATTGGGGTAGTCTGGTGTATCCAGGTCAGGGTGCGTTTCTCCCCGGTGCTGGTGAATTTTGTTCTGTGGATATGGTGGGTTGAAGAAGAGGAATGAAGGAGTCGGTTTCTATGCCCCCTTCAGTAATGCTAGGAAAAGTCAAGGACGGTAGGCAAAGAGAAAGACCCAACAGATTGCTTACTGCCTGATCCGTTGTCACTGCTCCTGGAGAGAATGGCTGCTATGGAAGATGGACTGCATGGTGTTATACCCTACCAAGGTGCCCCCTCTCCCTAAACCAGTGTGGTGAAGTGGTTAAGTGCGCGGACTCTAATCTGGGAGAACCAGGTTTGATTCCCCACTCCTGCACTTGCACCTGCTGGATGACCTTGGGCAAGCCATAGTTCTGGCACAGCTGTTCTTGAAAAAGAGCCGTTTCTGTCAGAGCTCTCTCAGCCCCACCTCCCTCACAGGGTGTCTGTTGTGGGGAGGGGAAGGGAAAGGAGTTTGTCAGCCGCTCTGAGAATCCTTTGGGTAGTGAAGGGC